CCCCACCACCCTAGTGAGGATTAAGCGATGCACAGATAATGGATGGATGGATTATTCACCACCATCCAGTAACTCAGAAGCAGAAGGGAAGATGGATGTAAATTGTGACTTGAGTGGCTTGTGAAGGGGCAAAACCACGGGCTTATAATTCTAGTTTATGTCGTGCTTTGAGAACATTTAAATAACAATGTGATAGTGTTGTCAGCTTGCCACGCCACCACTTTAGTCCCTCACAATATGTCAAGAACGCTGCACTGAAATGCAGTGAATGGCTTTTCCTGCATTGGAATTGGCCTCTAGGGGATGACCGAGTCTTTACCTCTCTGGCCGTCTGAAGAGAAAATATGTCCATTATGTGCGAGTATAAGGGTTAGGGTGATGAATCATACTAACTTTGTAGGTCCCCAGGTTTTTCCTGTAGTGCCACGAGCATGTACTCACCATCTACTGGATAGTTTGGTAGAGGTTCTTTGCACTGAGATGATTAAACCTGATGACTCTTGTGCCACCATACAGCTGGATTTGTGGGTTAAAATGAAATTTCTAGACAGTGCTTGGAAAACTAACGCCACTCCAATGAGCTTCAAACTGTTACTAGCAGATGTTATGTTGGTGTTATGAACATGGCAAACACCCTACTTGCTAAAAATGGGAATATTATTTTAGTTTAACATGATCTCAAAGCACTGCCAGTTGAGCCTCACTAACTAAACTGTTACTGCGCACATCACCAGATCTGCTGATGTTTCTCTGCTCTGACACTCCAAATTCAACAGCAGTGCCAGTTTATGGTATTGTTTCCTAAAGGTTTGTGTACACTTTGCCAAAATAAAGCAGTAAAATCTTTCCAGAAACTCTCCCAGGCGAAAATACAAATGTTATAAAAAATAAAAAATGGCCGAGCTTTGGCGCAGAAAAATTTAAGGTGGTATTCAAAACAGAAAAGATGTCCCTGATGAGGAAAAAAAGCCTTTGTGGTCCTTCACTGAACACAATATGTTTTGGCAGTGTGCCATAAATTAGTCATACAACAAAAGCTTTTTAAGCCTTTTCAACTGAACAAGAGCTGAATTGGTCCTTTGCTTTTTTTTTTTTACAGATTGCAGTTAGGATCCTGATTAAATCTTCTGATTGGCCAGCGAGATGCATAAATAATAATGTGGCCATTAGACTCTAAGACAATAGCCAGGAGGCCGCCTGCCAAGCTGGCTGAAGTCTCCGTGTCTGCATTAATTGGTGCTGAAATAACAACAGTGGAGGAGGGGTTTTTTTGCCAAAGATTAGAGGAGAGGATTATGATGATGTGTTGCAGCCAAAAAGAAAAAAAAAAGAGTTAAAAATCCAGCAAATTAACCTTTGTGGAGTCTTAAAAACATGTTCTTATGGTGTGTGTGCAAGATAATGTATTAGAGAACTCTGGTTTAATTCTGGGCTGCAGGTGTCTCGGTGGTTAGCACCGTCGCCTCACAGCTAGAAGGTCGCCAGTTCACGTCCCAGTGGGGGCACCGGGATCTTTCTGCGTGGAGTCTCCATGTTCTCCCCGTGCAGCGTGGGTTCTCTCCGGGTTCTCCGGCTTCCTCCCACAGTCCACAAACATGCTGAGGTTAATTGGTGATTGTAAATTGTCCGTAGGTGTGAATGTGAGTGTGCTTGGTTGTCTGTCTCTAAGTGTAGCCCTGTGATAGACTGGTTACCTGTCCAGGTGAACCTGCCTTCACCCTGAGTCAGCTGGGATAGACTCCAGCCCCCCACGACCCTAGTGAGGATGAAGATGTAGAGATGATGGATGGATGGTTTAATTCTAGTGAGAATCATCTTAGATTGTAATTTTTCCCTCATTATTTACATTCAGTCACGTTGAAACGAGCATTTTCTTTCACGTAAAAGCCTTTAAACTGTAAAGCGAGGCTTAAACGCTGAAATGTTCTACGGTCAAACCATCAGTGTTCACAGTTTGACAAAAAATGACCCAATTAACCTTTAAAACCTGCAGGCCCACCAGCAGGTGACCACACACAGCCCTTCATGGGCCATTAGCTGCTCCACCGCTCTGCCTCCACCCTGCAAATCTATTAATGTATCATTTATTACTAATTGCACCAGATGCAGACCAAATAATGAGGTTTTGAAATGTTGGCTGCTCATAATGAAAAGCAGAGAGAGCAGACAATTGATGGCCTTTAACACAAAAACACAAACTATCCCCATTAACCTTCTGAAACTGAAAATGTGCTCTCAGGCTGCTGCTGCGTGCAATAAATATTTCCAACTGGCTGCCCTGTTATTATGGTGCCTCATGAGTAATTCTTAGACGAGCCATGTGGTCAGTTTAAGTGTATTTTGCAGTTTCTGTGGCTGGTGATGCAGCGGCTTAGTCATAGCTGGAGATCCGTTCAATAAATCTCTGAATGTACAGGAGTCAACCAAGAAGTGATCTGTTGTCAGTGATGGCTGATAATCACCTAATAAATACAGAGTGTTGTGATATGTGTCTGTCAGGTCTGGTGGTTTATTTATCTTTATCTGTACAGGGCCCTCCAATAAAACATGAAAGCCTCGTCATGTAAAGTTCACAAGCTGGAGCCACATGTGCCGTCACGCGTGCCACATGTTGATCCCCCGCAGGAGCGTTAAAGGGAATAAACTGGACGCACACGGATGATTTAACGCGAGCGAAACGCGGGCGGTGCAGGCTGAGCTGTTTCCAGAGGAGGACCGGTGCCGTTCAGCCCACTGCAGCCGCGGCAGGCTACTTCCGTTCCGCAGAGGGCGACAGGCACCAGCCTCGACTGTGGCGGAGGTCCAGACACAATAGAGTGGGTAAGTTTCACCAGCGGGCACAATACACGCTTTTAAGGCCGGTGTTTCCCGGTAGAGTGGCAGCGTACGGAGCCGTGTGCTGCCCGGGTGTGTTTTCGGCTCCGGGCTCCGCGGCTCGCCGAACAGACAAACAAACAAGACGGTCACGGTTTAGTTGGTGGCTCGGAAAAGGGGCTCCGGCTATGTGCTGGAGCGGACTAGTTGGTGGCTGCTGGCGTTTTAATGCTTAATTCTCGCAGCTACGCGTTTAGTTTGGATGCGAGGCGGCGACACGACGTGTAGTAAACAGCACAGCACACGTCTAAACATGAATTATATAATATATGGTGGAAGGCCCGAGTCTTCGTGGAGGAGTCGGGGTAGGTGGGGGGGCGTTAGCAGGTAGCGCTAGCTCCGCGCATGAGGGGGAGGAGGAGGGCAGCACGGCGGACGTAAGCTAACTACATTTGATGGCAGTTAATTCCCAAATAGTGTGTTTTACTTGAATTCGCGGATGTGAGACGGTTAACTTCGCCGTGCGCGGCTGTGATGTGTGCGGTTGGAGCTAGCTAGCTCGTCGGCTAACGGCAGCTCGTTCGCCGTCACGGAAAACGTTAGCTCCGGTTTAAGGCAGCGGCTAGCAGCTTTGTCTGCGCCGCCTCCCCTCCACCGCACACCTTCTGCTGCAAACACCGCGGAACCGGTGGTTAGAGCCGTAATTCACCACATAACACGTAAACACACACTTCAGACGGTCACGCTAATGCTGACATATGAGCGAAGGCTTTGCGCTGGTTGCTAATTATGTGTTGAGCTTCAGTTAAGGTGAAGAAACACTGCAGGTAGATCAGCTTTAACCAAGTTCAACACTTAAAATAAGAAAGCTTTTAGTACAAGTCTGAAAAAACTAATTCATTTCGGTAAAGTCGGCTTAAAAAAAATAGCTCTTTTTCATATTACAGTTAGAGGTATTAGCAGAGGAGGTTTTCAATATATATTCTGTCCATCCATGAATTAGAAAACGCCATCAAGAGCCACGAAATGTCCGTTTTTACCATATTTGCTATGAATTAAATGCTGCATAAATCCAGCTATACCAGCTGACCCCCTCCAGAACAGGCGCTGAAGGACATGTTAGTAGTAAAGCAGATCCATAACCAGTGCAGGTGTGCAGTCAGAGGAACATCTGGGTGTTGGAAGGAAACAGGTTCCAGAACAAAACTTTGTTGAAACGCCTCCGTTTGTTTTGGTTTTGCATAAGT